TCACCTCCATCTTGGTGCCATACATCTTCTGGCGGTGTTTTGATTGATGGTCCTGTAAATACACACCTTCGAAATTAAAACCCCAAATCTCCACAATTATTGATTCTAAAGAAGAAGGAGACGGGAAGGAAGGATTGGGGTTTGGAATCAGAGAAAGGAAAATGGGTAAGATGGTTTGGAGATTATCCCCATCTAATCATCCATCGATTGACTGTTGCTGAACCGAACCTCCTATTCAGGAGAAAAACGAAGAATTGTAAGATCATATAAATCTGGGCAAAACGAAATCGTCTGATCCTCATTCAGGAGCATAAATTTTGGAATTCAGATGTATGTAAAAAAACTATGAAATCAGACGTGTATATCTCCAAAACCCAAAATCTGATAGAAACAAGTTAGTCTTTCTCTCTCTAAAACTCTTGCAGTTGATGAGCTTATAAAGATCTTATATGAGGTTTGATTCCTGCTCTATCTAGCTGGCTGGAAGGTTTGTCATTTCTCTGCACTTTTGATGAAACATTTCAGGTTCTTTTCATCCCCTTCTGAATCGATTATCTATAACAGAGCATCCCTCTCCTCACAAGCATGTATAAAACAAAACAATATATACCCTTGCGAAGAAGAAAATGTATGATCTTGAAATCCGATTCACAACAGGTGTGGTGGGATGACTGATGTGGTTGGTGTTAGTCTGGCCCATAAACAAAATAAAAAATGATTTGCATAATCGATTTTCAGAGTATGTATATGTGTATGTATGAGTTACAATGTAGAAGACGATGCGTTTAGTTACTATGTAGAAGACGATGAGAGAGAGAGAGAGAGACCTTTTTTATTTTTTAATTATTAAAATAAATAAATAGCTTTTAATTAATATTTAAAAAAAAGATATATTTTTTAAGTGAAAAAATGGTCCTTTATATGTGAAAAGACAAATATACCCTCATGTGAGATGCACATGAGAGAGTTAACAACAATAACTTAACGGAAGTTAAGTCGAGGGACCATTTCTACGTATAAACTAGGCCAAAAGGACCATGAATACAAAAAAGTCGAGGTTTTGACTGAAACCCCAAAAAAATACATACCACAGGGACCATTTTTGCAATTTTGTCTAATATTTATTATATTTGACACTTTACATATATAAATATAAGTATTATGTGGATTTTTAATTTTAAAAATTGAAAAAAAAACAATAGATTGACATGTGGATACTATTTACTTACAAAAAATTACAAAATAACAAGTATCAAACGTTATTAAAGATTGACATGTAGCAAAATTATATTTATTTATTAATTACATAGCATCTTTTAGTTTGATAATAATTCGGTCTAAAAAATAATAATGTTCTAATTTATATATAACGTTCCATATCGATACATTATCTTCCAGAATTTCAAAAGTTGTAACAAACTATTCATTTGGATTAGACAAAACTGCACAAATGGTCCCTGTGGTTTACACAAAATTGCCACTTTGGTCCAAAAAAGTTTTGGCTAGCACCACAAGTCCAAAGTTTCCATTTTCTTGCATATTTGGTCCAATGGGTTAACTTCCGTCTATTTCCCTCTGTTAAGTTATGTTTGACTAGTCAAATCAGGGGTATTTTGGTCATTCCCTATTTATGCCCCTTATTTTATATTAATAAAGGAGAGCTATAAGAACGAATCCCAATCCATCTTCTTTGTTGTCGTTCTCATTTTGGTCTTCAACTCTGCGATCGATTTCTTCAAGAAATCAAAATAAAAAATGGTGCTTTGTTTTTGTGGTAAAATGGCTATAGTTCGCACAGCATGGACTGATAAAAATCCAGGTAGACGCTTCTGGGGATGCCCTACTGAGGTACGCAATTTTTTTTTGGATTTCAGCATAAATCTCCCATTACATGTTACGATCTTCTTTTGTTTCTTAAATTTTGAAGGGATCCAAATGTCGATTTATTGGGTGGTTTGATGATCTAATTTGTGAACGTTCAAAAGCTATTATACCTGGGCTGCTGAGGTCAATCAACAAATTAAAGTCACAAAATACAAGACTCAAGTGTTACTTGTTATGCAGTTGGGTGTTGTTCGTGTTTGTTCTGGTTTATAAGAAGTATATTGAAGTGTAATGGTTTGGGTGGTTTGTAAGTGTAATGGTTTGGCTGGTTTCTAAGTAGTATATTGAAATGTAATGGTGTGGGTAGTGTTTTAATGTTTTTGGTAGTATCTTGTTTAAGCAATGTAATCTTTTGGGCAATACTTTGTGGTAGTCTTTTGTGGTTATAATGTAAGCAATGTAAGACATGTTTTGTAGGAATTTGTCAATGGTGATTATATTTGGTATGTACATTTTGACCAATTTATTTTGTTTGTGGTTTTGTTTAAAAGGGCATATTGGTCAATTTATATTAGGCAATTTTGTGTAAACCACAGGATCATGTGTGCAGTTTTGTCTTGTGGTTTTGTTTAAAAGGGCATATTGGTCTATTTATTTTGTATATGGTTTACACATTATCAATGACAAATGTATGTTTTGATTAAAAGGGCATATTGGTCTATTTATTTTGTATGTGGTTTACACATTATCAATGAAAAATGTATGTTTTGTTTAAAATGGCATATTGGTCAATTTATTTTTTATGTGGTTTACACATTATCAATGAAAAATGTATGTTTTGTTTAAAAGGGCATACTGGTCAACTTCTACAACAAAAAATTATACATGACAATAACATCAAGACATTAAACATAACATAAGCCACTACATCAAATCTAGTGTAAATTGTTCCCATACATCACAGGGGTACACTATCAAGTACCAAAAATAACATCCAAAATGGTTAAACCCCAAAACACAGAAAGTACTAAACATACAATAGACATAAACATAACATTATCCCAAAAAGACACTTATACCCCTACAAACATCAAAATCCCTTGAAATCCAATCACTTACCCCCTAGGCCTTTGCAAGTTCTAGCATTGTGCCCTTTAATTTTACACTTGCTGCAAGTTACTTGGATAAACTTTCTTGTAAGCTTTCCACTCCCACTAGCAATATTGCTTTGACTCCCATTACCACTACCAACATTGTCTCCCTTCTTCTGGCTTTTCTCCTCAGCAGATTGCCTCCTCTTTTTCTTTGGCCTTCCAGGCTGATTTTTGTGTAGAGGAGGGGTGATTTTAATTGGGCATTCACTTATAGGCCACATTGCTTGATCTTTAATAGGCTCTACCTTGTACACATAAGCTGCTTTCCATGTTTCTAGCCAGTGCACCCTGTGGCATAAGTGTGCAGTTCTCCAACTTCCTCAACATTATCTGCTTTGTCATTTAGGACTGCAATGACATGCTTACAAGGGAGTCCTGTTAATTCCCACTTCCTACAACTACATACTCTTTCAACCATGTCAACAACATGTTGATCCTGCCATGGCCCTTGCACTTGGTATTTATCTGACCCATTCCACCTAACTGTGTACTGAGATGCCCAATTCACATTCTTCTCCATGATCTTTATTGTAGACGGGGTTAGTGGACCAACACACTTCTTTTGCACCTTTATGACATTGCATATTCTTTTCATCATATACTCCTTAATGTACTCCAAGCAAGTTATCAGTGGCTTGTCCCTTCTCTCAATCAATTTGCTATTAAAAACTTCACAAAGATTATTCAGAAGCATATCTGAAACTGCTCTGCCTAAAAACACCACAATATTGTTAGGACCAAACATATACTAATACAAAAGGATCAAACATATACCAACACAAAAGGGTAAATTTGGAAGCTGAAGTATATACCTGTGAAGTGGCTTCTTGCCCAATGTTGTGGGGGAATCTGCTTCAACCAATTATAAGCTTCTACATCATATGAGCTGAATTGTTGCATCCTATGATTGAACTCTGGTACTGTTGTTGCTGTAGCACAATTCCACAAGTGTTCTTTGTACTCATTAGTTCTCCATGTTTTTCTCATATTGTCATGTATATGCCTGAGACAAAACCTGTGCTCAGCACATGGGAACAAATGAGAAATGGCAGTCTGCAATGCCTGTAAAGGAATTAAAACATAGTTAATATAGCACATCCAAATATGTCAAATATAAACAACAAATTACAAACCTTTTGTCTGTCACTTATAAATGTTAAGTTTGAGTTTGCATATAGGTCCAGATCATCTGCAATACACTCTAGAAACCACTTCCAACTATCAGTGTTCTCAATCTCAACAATGGCATAAGCTAGGGGGTATATTCCATTGTTGGAGTCTACCCCAACTACAGTTAAAATTTGTCCTGGGAAAGGGCCCTTCATAAATGCCCCATCAAAACCTAGAAAATCCCTCAGGCAAGCTCTAAAGCCCTTATTCATTCCACCCAAACACACGTACATCCTTTTAAACCTTCTTGAGGTAGCACTTAGGTTGGGTTCCGAATCAAACTCTAACTTCACAGTGGTTTCTGGATTAGTACCAGGATGTAATCTCTAAGAACATCATATTGCTTTTTGTAATCACCCTGGACAAGTTTTTTTGCAGTTGATTTGCCCCTGAATACCTTGTGAATAGAGAATCCAACTTAATAATCCTTTTGAAGTTTTTCTTGAAGAGCTCTGACTGGGATTGTTGGGTTGGATTCAATCTGGTCCATTATCTTCTTAGAGATAAACTTTGCTGTTGCAGATCTAACTTTTCTTGTCTGGAGGCATTTATGTTCGTGGTTGTAAGTTTTTATGAACCAATTACTATTTACATCTGACCTAGAACCTTGTATCACCCAAGGACAAGGGGTAGGTTCACTGACATGACCATCATTAAAGGCTACAGTTCCTTTACAGATTGCCCTTAACCTCATTTTTTCGTTTTTCACAAAGAATATATTCCTTCTTGTTTCCAGTGCATGCAATTGTATCTTTTCCTTTAACTCCTTATTTTTATATTTTTGTCCTATCCTAAAAGTTACCTTGTGTATCTCACCTTGAGAGCACCTAGTCTCCTTCCCCAATTCCTTTA